CTACCTATCACACTTGGTCCCTCAACCCTCAAGGGGATCTCTGAGTACTACAATAAAACAATATATCCCACCTGCCTTTTTCTTTCAGGGAATACTGGAACATGATTGCTACACCTCTGGAATAAGCTCACCTTACAAGCATGGATTAACACACTCTCCACGTCATTTCCTCCGCACAGAGCGGGTCAGAGCATCTGCTCTGTTCTTGTCAACACGACATCCAAGCAAGGAGAAACATCAAGCCTTTACCACTCTAAACACCTCTCGTGCAAACAGTTCACCATCCTCTCCTCCCTGCCATCTGCCACTACAGGAACGTGCTCCCCCTGACACAGCTAGTGCGTGCTGAGCAATTCAAACAGTGAACTAATTTAGTGCATCACCACAGCAGCCTCTGCCAAGGGTACACACTTTAAAAACTGCTTTGTGGAAGTCTCCTGGAGGCTTCTTAGTGGGCTACCGATGTCATTTTTGAAAAATTAGTCAGAGGCAACTTCACAAGCAGAGCCAATGCCAGACAGGGCATTACTTCAAACTAGAGAGAATCTTCTGGTGCTGCTACATCTGAAAGAAAAATGGTAGCTATTTTGCTCAGCATGGTCTTCTGAAACATCTCATGAGGGGAAACCCTTACTATGAAAAGGCAGTGAAACATCATACAAGAAAGTTAAGTTTTTTTATTAAAAGAAATGCTTGTACACTTGTACACTTTCTCTTGATGGTAGCGCAAAGGCTGAAAATTGACAGCTTTCAACATGGGTGATATAAGAGCTTAGTGCTATTGATGGAAACGCAACAACTGCATGGAACTACATTATTAATTTGCAGAGCTGATCTCCATGCAAGAGCAACGGCCTTGCGATACGATATTAGTAACTCTGATTTTGAAGTCTGTCTTGCCATCTCCCTCTTTAATAGTTCCCATAAGTCTTTGGGCTGGATACCAAAGACAGCAGAGCCGGTGCAGAGATGCATGTTGCCCAGCCAGCAGGAACTTCTCTCATCATCTCATCGAGATGCAATTTTCATATATGAATGGCCTCCTACAGCTCAAGACTTCTGTATGGTATCCAACATTGTAACATGGTTTTAATAGACTGGTGGTTCTCACTTGCTGAGCAGCATCTGTCCAGAATTAGCATACACGCTTCTTTTTTTTAAATAAAAAAAAAAAAAACAGGGCTGATTGGTTTCCCAATATTTCCCTACTTAGTTATTTCATGTTGAGCAGTGACACACTTTTGAGTCCAGACAAATGCTTTCAGGACTGGTGTCTGTGTGAGGATATTCCTCTGGATTACAGAACGAAAGAAGAAAGCATTAAGGCAGTTTTCAACACTTCCAGAGTTATCAGTTGGGGGAGCAGGGGGCACAACACAGGAATTTCTTCTTTTGTTTTAGCACAGGGTAATCCCTGTTATACACAGACCAAAAAAAAAAGAAGAAAAAAAAAAAAGTCAGTCCAGAATGTGGAACCATGAGAGAAAGAAAGAGGTTTCCACAAACTGGTGATGGAAAGAAAGAATTAGAAAACTAAAAGGAGATGAAGCTATTCCCCTTCAAAGCTTCAGCAGAAGCTCCTCCATAGTAAACCTCATCACATCAAGTGCTAACAGCAGGTATGATAGGTTTCTAAAGCAAAAACCAAAATAGCCATAAAAATACTATCCACTAACTATGCTAGGCAGACTACTTGCATTGTGCCAGAGCTGCCAGTTCAGTTCCTCTACAGTGTAGTTTGCTTTCTTTTTCTAAAAATCTGTACATGTATAGTCTCATCTGTAAATGTGCAAGACTACCATGCCCAGCTAAAACTGCAGTAAGATTTATAACAGCCAGCCAGGCTTAAAAAACATGAAACAAGATTCCAGATCTTAATGCAGCCTGATATGAATGCATTCTCCATACTAGGTCTGCAGGCTATGATCATTTGATCTTAGAAAGATTTCTAATTTTTTGATAGGTGTTCAGTCATACATGAGCCAGCAGTGTGCCCAGGTGGCCAAGAAGGCCAACGGCATCCTGGCCTGCATCAAGAACAGTGTGGCCAGCAGGAGCAGGGAAGTGATCCTTCCCCTGTACTCTGCGTTAGTGAGGCCACACCTTGAGTACTGTGTTCAGCTCTGGGCCCCTCAGTTCAGGAAGGACATTGAGGTGCTGGAGCGGGTCCAGAGAAGAGCAACGAGGCTGGTGAAGGGACTTGAGCACAAGTCCTATGAGGAGAGGCTGAGGGAGCTGGGGTTGTTTAGTCTGGAGAAGAGAAGGCTTAGAGGTGACCTCATCACTCTCTTCAACTACCTGAAGGGAGGTTATAGCCAGGTGGGGGTTGGTCTCTTCTCCCAGGCAACCAACAATAGGAGAAGGGGGCATGGGCTCAAGTTCTGCCAGGGGAGGTTTAGGTTGGATGTTAGGAAGAAATTCTTTACAGAGAGGGTAATCAGGCACTGGAACGGCCTGCCCAGAGAGGTGGTGGGTTCACCATCCCTGGAGGTTTTTAAAAAGAGATTGGACGTGGCCCTTAGTGCCATGATATAGTAATTAGAGTTGGATCAGGGGTTGGACTTGATGATCTTGGAGGTCTTTTCCAACCCAATCTATTCTATGATTCTATGATTTAGCTGTTTACTTTCCTCTAAAAGTCTGGATTTACCAGCCAGCCATACACTTTATTTTTTAATTCATAAACTTGATCCAGCACTTCCTCTCGTGATTTCCCCAGCTGCAACCTTCTCATCCTTAACACGTTATAGATCAGGTATACCACAGCATTCAGCAGAGATAAAACTGGTGCAGAGAAGTTATACAGCTTCTCTGTATCATCCTTATTTTGCTACAGCTTCTATTCCTCATACTTACTGGTCCTGTTCCAGTTACAGCATCTTTTTGTTGCCTGTATTCTATTAATGCATTTGACTGCTTACTCAGGGAGTATGAAAGATGGTTCTAAAAGCTCAGCACAGATTTTTTTTTAACTGTGATCTTCTCTTTCAGTTCAGTTTCTTAAATACTGAGTATTCAAAATCCTATTTCTACTCTGATTAAAACTTTAAAATTTGCAATGAAAAAAAAAATCTAGAATTCTTTATAAGTCTTGTCCATTAGTGCCTCCCACCTGCACTGGGGGTTGGAACTGTATGATCTATAAGATTCCTTTCCTTCCAACCCATACCATTCTATGATTCTGTGACCTGGCCTGTGAAGTTTTTTATTTTCAAAGACACAGTTCATTTAAATTGTGCTGGCTGCACAAGCTAACAGACTGGACAAGATGATTAGTTCAGTAAGCCATTAGCTCTTCTCTACTCCCCCAGCCCTCCACCCACCTACCATATCAACACTTAGGTCATCATCAATTCAGGAAAAAGGGGAGGAAAACCACTGCTCTGGAGATAGGATGTACAGATTAAGATCATATTGTTCATGTCATCAGAATACAAAGAAAAAAAGAATAAATAACTGTCCTCTGCAGGTGCTCTGGTTAACTATGCAGAATGAGGGGGAAAAACCATAACCTATAAAGCTCATATTTTAAGAACGTTACAAAAAGAAGAGTGAATGTTTCATAGTAATCACAGAATATTTTCTCAGCCACCAGAAGACACTGCAACATTCAAAAATTCCATACATTGCTTTAAGATCACTCTTTTTGTTTGGAGAAGAAATGCCACAAACAGTAAGATTTGAAACAGAACCATCTGGTACACAAGTTTCACAGGGACACAGATCAGCTATTCACATGAAATGGAGATGCCTAAAACTTATGCCAGCTTTGGTACAGAGCAGAGGGAGATTGCAATACCCCCCAACCCAAAAAAACTGTGCCTGTTTTATTGGGATTTCATTTACTTATGCTTCATCCAAATGACTTTAATTGAAACTATCACATAGAGTCTTTCCTCATCTGAAAAAAAACAACACACTAAAAAGGAAAACTAAACAAATATTCTGTAGCAACAGAAAACAAAGAAAGAAAGCTGACATGCATATAGAAGCAGCACACATGCAAAAGCCTGCTTTTAATGCAATCTGTCATAAACAGAGTG